CCTATTAGAGAAATTCCATCTTCATTATTTTTTCTTTCTAATTTATCTTAGAGAATGCAAATTTGATGCTTCTAGATATTCAATATTTTTAACCCAGAAATTATGCATATGATGGTTTCATCTAGGAAGTATATGAAAATCACATGAAAATAAAATATGGCTACATATACAATAATATCCATTGTAAATTATTTGGAAAATATACAAACGTATTTTAATTTTAGTAGTATTGTTACAACTTGGTCCCCAGATTTGATGGCTATATGTATGGAATGGAGGCCATAATGAGATCTGCCTAAGAATGAAAGTTTACAGGTAATTTTTTAAAATTTATTTTTTGCTAGAAAAGCAGATAGGTGCTTGTGACATCACTAATGAGAACAACATGTAACCTTGGCACCTTAATATTGTGTATTGATTAACACTTTTACACAAATATTTATTTTTGTACCATTCTAGTGTCCATAATGCAACATTATTTTTCAACAAAGATATCTAAACACAGAATCTTATACCTAACTAGATTGTCTTTTGTTAGCAACTGTCTCCCCAAAGAATTGACATGTCCACACATACTCCTTAGCTGTGAGTTGAGAAACACTGAAAAAAATTTATGTTGATCTGCATTAAGATAAATATTAAATTTTTAAATAATCAAGAGCACATATTTTTGAGGTTAGTTGCAGTGGAGAAATTTACAGTTGAAGAGTCATTCAAATTTAATCATAAAGCTACTTAAAATTAAGAGGAAAATAATGTTTTGGAAAGTATTTGCTCCAGATAAGGTAAGGCTGTACATTTATTAAGATAGGATAAGATCAAAGAAATCAGTCAAATTACTAGAACACTGTGATATAAATAAATGTCGAAGGTTATGTATAGAAAACTGATACAAATACAAAAATGCTAACATTAATTAGTCAAAAGATTAGTAATAAAAATATGAAATAAGATACCCTTTTGTGTATTTACCTTTAAGAGAGTTCAGGAAGACTGGCACTTTCTCTATTAAGGGTATCAGGGAAAACAATTATATACAGCTTTTCTGGAAATCAATTTAACATTATATTTTAAGGAGTCTTAAAAAATATTTGTACACTTTCACTCAGCGATTCCAATTTTAAGAATGTGCAGAAGGCATAATAAAGCCCTTGCAGAAGATTTTTCATTGTAACGTTTGTGTTATAAATAAGAAAAAGCAAGGTAGTGATGCATTAAATATAGGCAGCCCTCTTTTCGCAAGGTACCATGGTAACGAAACTTGTGAAGACTGGAAGTGTCTCCTTGCTTCGTATGGGTCTCAGTTACCACAGTGCTGTGCAAAGTGAGGACAGCTTGCCTTGAATACTTGGCTGGACACAGGCAGATGGCAGCCGGAACAAAGGCTGGTTGTATATAACTGGATCCCTTATAAGGGTGTGTTGGCTAGGATCATAAAGAAGAGTGACTGTCACATGATGGACTTTTCCATTTAAATTTAGCCAGACATTAAAATGAAGAAGCTCCCAGTTAAGGCCAGGGCAAATAATTTTTTATAGCTTTTTATAAAAAAGAAGGGCACAACAATGTATACATTATGATAACTTGTAAAATACTAGAATTAAAGAAAAGTAAGTCTTTTTCTTTGTATCTATGTACCAAATTTCTAAGATGAGCAATTATTAATTTTGTGAGTAAGAAAACAAGCAAACAAAAACTGCATATTTCCAGGATCACCCAGTTCCCACCATCTATACTAATAAAAGCCTAGGTGGTCCTTGCGCCCTCGCGTGCGACATCGTCACAAGATGGCCACCACAAGATGGCCACGCGCACAGTGGAGGTGGAGCCCAGTGCCTGCTTTGCACGGTGAGGCCTGGGGGAGGGCAACTGTGGGCGATCAGGCTGGCAGGGGAGGGCAGTTGGGGGCCATCGGGCCAGCAGAGGAGGGCAGTCGTGGATGACCAGGCCAGCAGGGGAGCAGTTAGGCATCAATCAGGCCGGCAGGGGAGTAGTTAGGGGGTGATCGGGCCAGCAGGCAGAAGTAGTTAGGGGCGATCAGGCAGGCATGCAGAGGCAGTTAGGGGCGATCAGGCAGGCAGGCTGGCAAGTGGTTAGGAGCCAGTAGTCCCAGATTGAAGAGGGTGCAGGCTGGGGCTAAGGGACCCCCACTCCCCACCTCCCGCCGACTGTGCACAAAGTTCGTGGGCCTCTAGTTTAAAATAAAAGAATTTTATTTACTGATATGAGAATTTAAATAGGAAAAAGCAGGGGTTCAACACTATTCCACATCAGCATTGAACTGGATGGTTATCCAGATGCCTTCTAATCCAAGCTGCTATTATTTTCTCCCTTAACAATATTGTGCAAACAAACAAACAAAACAGCAAGGGATAAGCCTACACTTACATGTTCAATCATATAAGAAAGTAGGCAAGAACATACAATGGTGTATAGTTAATCTATTCAATAAATGGTGTTGGGCAAATTGAACAGATACATGCAAAAAATAAAATTTCTCTCTTCATTGATGTTTCTATCTTTCTCTCCCTCTCCCTTCCTGAAATCAATAAAAAATATATTTAAAAATAAAAACATATTTAAACAAATAATGAATCCCATCACTTCATGTTTCTTGGGGGCTTTGATTCTCTGATGATATAGGATGTGCAAAACAATAAAACCATAGTGGCTGTTTATAGTCTGAATGACTTTCTACTAGAAATAATTGAACCATAGGGATTTGGTCCCTATATAACAATTCTGTTATAAACTCTTCAGATTTTTTATGTCCATGCTGTCATTGGCAAATCACTCTTCTTTCACAGGTATTGTAAAATATATTTTGGGATCTAGAAATATTTTATTCAATAAAATAAAATTATGAGCTGAAACATATTCTGATGAATTAGTAATTATCTTGAGTTAAATTCTACTATATCAGACTATTCTCAGAGTACAAGTATTTTAAATGTACAATGGAATAGTATTTACAATGAGAAGAAGATAACTGGACCAAAGAGAACATTCATTCTATCAATAATAATCAATTGCCTTCATTTGGGAAAGCACTGGTTTAGGTTCCACTGAGGCTGTAGCTACAGTCTAGATAAACTCCTTGTTCCTAAGGAGCTCACACTTTGATGTTGAGTCTTGTTTTAGACTGGATCTGGGTTTTTTTAATCAAAAATTATACTAGCTACAATTTATTAAGTGCTTACTACACGTCAGACATTTTTAAAAAATATATATTTTATTGATTTTTCACAAAGAGGAAAGGAGAGGGATAGAGAGTTAGAAACATTAATGAGAGAAAAACATTGATCAGCTGCCTCCTGCACACCTCCTACTGGGGATGTGCCCTCAACCAAGGTACATGTCCTTGGCCAGAATCGAACCTGGGACTCTTCAGTCCACAAGCTGAAGCTCTATCCACTGAGCCAAACCGGTTAGGACACATGTCAGACATTTTTAAAATTTTACCCTGTTGAACTCTCTGATATGGAGGAAATTGCTATTAGTAACCAAATTTTATGCATGAGGAATCATAGGCACAGAGAGATGAATAATCTGCCCAAGCCTCACTAGGAATTAGAGGAAAATGAACATGCATTGCAAGGTCAGGATACAACTTGAAAACAAACTTGAATTTAGAGGGTCAGGTAGACAGATTCTAATTCTACTTTTTATTTGTATTTTTTAATCCTCACCAGAGGATATTTTTCCATTGATTTTTAGAGCGAATGGACATGAGAGGAACACTCCGATTGGTTGCCTCCTGCATGTGCCCCCAACAGGGCCCTGGTCGGGAGGACCCTGCAACCGAGGTATGTGGCCTTGACCAGAATTGAACCTGTGACCCTTCAGTCAGCAGGCTGACACTCTATCCACTGAGGCAAAACTGCTAGGTCCAGATTCTAATTTTATAAAAATGTGTGCTATACATCAGTTCCACTTCCCTAAGTTCATTCAGCTATAAAAAACAAATGAGTTTTAATATTGATGCTTTAGATACTACAAAAACAGGTATATCAAAAAACAATGGGATTACAATTTCCAAGAAAAGCAATGCTGAAAAGTATTGTTAAGGAAATTGTAAACAAACAAATGTGATAAAGACTTGCAGCAAAGATAAAGGATTTTCAAACATAAATAGAATTGCAGAAAGCATTTAACAATATACTGCCCTATGTTAAGGCAAAAAAATTCAAACCTGTAAAGAATTTTTGAGTCTATTTGAGCCAAACTGTCTACAATTGCCAGGAATCAGAATCTCAAAGTATTGGGATAATGCTCCAGAGAATGGCAGTTTTATACATTGCAATCTAAGGAGGAGAGGTAAGTGCGTTACATGAAATCCATTGGTGGTAAGGTAGGAAGGTGGGAGAAAGCAAAGGTGGGGCAGACCTCTGGGATTGGATAAAAAGTAAAATGATAGACACATACTTCTTTACTTAGGTGAGTACAGAATAGTTAACAGTCAGTCAACAATTACCATGATAACAATAACAATGAAGGGATTTATGGTCTCAGTCCCTGGTTGTGCCCTGAGGGGTCCTGAAAAAGGGAAGTTACAAGTTACCCTGACATTTCACAGGTATATTATCTTAGATGCAAAAAGACAATAGGCTCAATTAAGGTAAAGATTGACCTTTGTCAGGGAAGATTCTGGCCTAGGACATGACTACCCACTATAAACTGCTTTTAGTTAAAGTTTTAATTTCAGACCATCTTTTGTGGTTTCCTTAGGTCTTTTGAGTTTGCAAGACCTCCATGCAGGCCTTCTCTGAGCTTATCAGGTTAGCATGGGGCTCCTTTTTCATCCACACTTAATATAAAAGAGCTCTGTATTAATTTGGATAGTGAAAACATCAATTCCATGCTTCTGAGGCTACTTTTTATGCCACAGGTATTTACAAGTTTGAGAGAAGAGGAAGAAGTGTCAGATGACATGATGAATGACAAAAGACATGAATCTCTATTTCCTTTATTTAGATCTCATTTGAAGCCAACCAAACACAATGTCAAAGAACTACACAGTGGTGACTGAGTTTATTCTCCTGGGTCTGACAGACAGAGCAGAGCTGCAGCCTGTCCTTTTTGTGGTGTTCCTGATCATCTACCTGATCACAGTGACTGGCAATGTGAGCATGATCTTGTTAATCAGGACTGACTCAAGACTTCACACTCCAATGTACTTCTTCCTCAGTCACCTCTCCTTTGTCGACCTCTGTTATGCCACCGATGTCACTCCTCAGATGCTGGTTAATTTCTTATCCAAGAGAAAAACCATTTCCGTCATTGGTTGCTTTATACAATTCCACTTCTTCATTGCCTTGGTGATCACAGATTATTATATGCTCACAGTGATGGCTTATGACCGCTACATGGCCATTTGCAAACCCTTGTTATATGGTAGCAAAATGTCCAGAGGTGTCTGCATCTCTCTTGTTGTGATTCCTTATACTTATGGCTTTGCAAATGGTCTGGTCCAGACAATCCTGATGCTTCGTCTCTCCTTCTGTGGACCCAATGAAATCAACCACTTTTACTGTGCGGACCCACCTCTGTTAGTCCTTGCCTGCTCAGATACTTATGTCAAAGAAACTGCCATGTTTGTGGTGGCTGGTGCCAACCTCACCTGCTCTCTCACCATGATTTTTATATCTTACATTTTCATTTTCGCAGCCATTTTGCGTATTCGCTCTGCTGAGGGGAGGCGCAAAGCCTTCTCTACCTGTGGGTCCCATCTGACAGCTGTCACTATCTTTTATGGGACGCTGTTTTGTATGTATCTGAGGCCCCTTCGGAGACATCTGTAGAACAGGGGAAAATTGCAGCTGTGTTTTATATCTTTGTGAGTCCTATGTTAAATCCTCTGATCTATAGTCTGAGGAACAAAGATGTTAAAAAAGCATTCAGGAAAGCTATCCAAAAGAAATTGTTTGCTAAATAAAGTAGACATTTTGGTCACAGGTGTGCAATAAATCATTATTATTGGACCAATTAATGAGCCTTTTCAATGACCGAATCACTTTCTGTCACTGACTATGTTTTATCTTCCACAATTAGCATATGAAACTTGGAAGAATGTGTCAAATTATTTATTAGCATTTACAGTATCATGTCAGTGAATTAAAAAAAATAGTGCATTGAAACTCAGAGGCATTACCGGAAGGCATTGTTACTGCTCTTTAAAGTCAATAAAGAACAGATGATTGCATCCATGATACTCATATTGGTACAAAGTTATAAGAGACAGAATTACCAAATGATGCTGTGGCAATGACCATCTATTGGATTTTTATAGTGCTTAATAATTTTAAAAATATTTTCCAGAAACTTCTTAACCATGGCAGATGAGTTTTGTTTTCTTCTTCCTTTTATACAAATTATATAGCAATGAAGATCTTTGGGTATTTGACATTTTTGCTCTAAGATGAAAATGCCACATTTTCTTTAGAAAGTGTTTTATTTTTTATTATTTTATTATTATATTTTTAACAACATGCATTCCCACCTAAAAACTGGTTTTGTGGTTTAACTTGTTAATTTTTTATTGTGTACTATTTCCAACATACAGTCAAAAATAAATAATAGAAAGACCACCTGTGTAAGCCCTAATTGATCATTAGTAAGTGTTTTCATAATGCCATTTTTGTTTCAAATATTTCAGAGACTCAGATATTTCTAAAAGTGAGTCTTCCCTAATTGATTCTTTTTTCTTCCCATTTCTTGCATTAAGCTCTACTATTAATTTAATGTTTTTTATTCTTATGTAGAGTTTTGTCATTTGATAGTGTTTCTGTATACACAAAATTATATTATTTTCTATATTAAAAACTTGATATACATAAAATCACTCTGTATTCTTCTGCAATTTATTTCATTTTTTTACTACATATACATCGTTAGACATACATGCTGAATCATGCCTTAGACTTATTCATGCTGAATCAGCAGCATTTTCAATGATATATAGGGTGGGGCAAAAGTAGGTTTACAGCTATGAGTTATGTAAACAATCAATAAAGTTATTTATAATATTCATAAACTGCATATATTTGTCCATATGAACAACTGTTGACCTACTTTTGCCCCACCCTGTATTCTATGTCAATATATATGTGTCACAATATATTTATCTATTCTACTATTAATAGGCAATTACATTTTTCTATTTCATGATAATGTATAGAAATGTATATATGTATCTAAGATTCTAATTTCTAAGTCATGAGCATCTGTAAATTTACTGTATGTAATCAAATTATTTTATCAAATTACACTCCTGCCAATACTATGTGAGAGTATCCTTAACTCCACATTCTTGTCAACACAATATACTGCCAGACTTTAAAAATATTTTCCAATTTGTTGGTGCAAAATATAGTCTCAGTTCTTGTTTAAGCTTTTGAAAAAAAATTTAATACAAATTTTTAAAAAATATATTTTCATTGATTTCAGAGAGGAAGGGAGAGAAAGAGAGAGAGAGGAGAGAGAGAACATCAATGATGAGAGAGAATCATTGATCGGCTGCCTCCTGCACACCCCCTATTGGGCATTGAACCTGCAACCTAGGCATATCCCCTTGACTGGAATCAAACCCAGAGCCCTTCAGTCCACAGGCCAACTCTCTTGGGCCAAACCAGCTAGGGCTTAGTTTTTGAATTATGGTTACAAGAGAAGTTAAGTATTTGTAAATGCTTGATGCTAATTGGAATTTTTCTTTTTAAAAAAAGTTGTATGCCCACATTCTTGTTCACTTTTCAGCTGGGCTATTTTATCTTTATTTTCCACATTTGTTATAGCTCCTTATGTATTCTGTACTAGGTACTAATTTTTTAATGATCTATGCAAATATCTTCAACCTTTTTGTAGTTTGAATTATATTTTTGTGTATGATATATTTGGTGGTGTAGAAATTTTTTCATTTTCAGGTAGTTCAAATTTATCAATCTTCTTTTTATGGTTGTGTTTTGAATATCTGGTTTAGACAATGTGTTCCTATTATAAAGATACTAGAGGCCTGGTGCACGAATTTGTGCACAGGTGGGGTCCAGCCCACCAGCCCCAAATGGAGGGGATTCAGGAGGTTGGCCGGCCGATCCCGCCCCCTGGTTGAATTCCCAGTTGAACTCTGGGTTGAACTCCCAGTCGAGGGGACAATTTGCATATTAGCCTTTTATTATATAGGATTCTTCTACTCTTTCATTTTTTAAAGTTTTGCTTTTGCATACTTAAGCATTCTTTCTGCTATCATAAATATTGCAAAATAGACTCTAATCTTATTTTTAAGAAAAACAATTTTCTCTTTTTTTAATACTTCATACCTTTCTCATTACATTTTTAGTGTAAACTCTGTCATGTATCAAGTTTTCATATATGTATCAGTCTGTTTCTGGGTTCTTTATTCTAGGACCAATTCATCAATCCCTTCATTACTATAAACTACTTTATAGTAAAGTAGTTTACTATAAAGGGGATATCTAAGGGAATATTTTAAAAGTGATGCAGGAAGGAAGGATAAATTGTGACTATAGCTTGAGGAATGGCAATCACCTACAATTAATAAAGTACTCAACTTGGTATGTGAAGACCCTGTTTGTTTCACAATCCTGTTCATAGCAGACCCTACTCAAGACATCAGTGTTTATGATAGAGAAAATTAATCTGGATTTTCAGAAAGGATAGGAAAAAAACACACAAAAAACCCGAGATAAAAAACCACATGTAAAATCAGACCATCATCAAAATGTCGAGATGACACCTATTTGTGTCTTCCACAGAGGTCTTAGAGGTCTTAAATTCAAGTGGTGAATTTAAAATTATAGAAAATACTAGAGGCCCGGTGCACAAAATTCATGCACGGAGGGGGGGGGTCTCTCAGCCTGGCCTGCACCCTCTCCAATCAGGGACCACTCAAGGGATATCCGACTGCCAGTTGGACAGTCGGACATCCCTCTTGCAATCTGGGACCGCTGGCTCCTAACCGCTTGCCTGCCTGCCTGCCTGGCCATCCCCCAACTGCCCCCTGCTGGCCTGGCTGCCCCCCAACTGCCCCCTGCCAGCCTGGCCGCCCCCAACTGCCCCCTGCTGGCCTGGCTGCCTCCCAACTGCTGGCCTGGTTGCCCCCTAACTGTCCGGAAGGAAGTCGGACATCCAGGAGATGTCCAATCACCTGGTCTAATTAGCATATTACCCTTTTATTAGTATAGATGACTATTGCATATGATTAGCTTTCTGTTCCTAGAGTGCTCCAATTAAACCCAAGAGGGTGATTCCCAAAGTAACACTCATTGATGATACTTTTAAGCCCTTCTGAGATTTCCTTTAAGAGCAGATCCATCCTACATCCAGATATAAATACAGCTGTGTTTACCAGCTTAGAGAGGCATCAAGAAACTTCCTTAATCAGAGTTTGACAAACAGGTGCTTATCAGAACCAGAAGTAAGTCTTTTTACTGTCCTTATTTTGAGTCAAAAGGAAATTGTATTAAAGTCTCAAACCGAGATCCATGGATTATATGCATTTTTCCATCCTCAAAAGTCAGATATTTTTTTCTGACTTTGCAAATCAGTAGGCTCATGAATTTTGTTTTAGGTGTGAATGAGAACATGCCTTTCTCTCAAGGGCTGTGGGTAAAGAAGTAGAAAGGGAAGCTCAACTATAAAAAGTCTTATCTCTATTTCTTGCCCTACTCATTTCTTGCCTACTTTATTTAAATACTTTTTCTAAGTACTTTAAATGAGTTAACTATTTTACTACTCTTGACAATTGCATTTCCCATTTTATGGCTAGGAAAACAACAAAGACAGGTTAAGTACTCTGACACTGGCATGGAATTCATAACTGATGGAGCCAGAATCAGAATCACTAAATGGAATTAGGTTCATGAAATTCTGACTTTCTAAGTACTAAAGTATTGACTCATTAGACATGTTAGAGCAGGCCTGGCATAATCTAATTAGATTTATTTATTGTGAAAAAGTTGCATCTGAGCTAAATGTTACTCAAGTTCACAGAGTAAGTTGGTCGCAAAGCTGGAAAAAGGTTCCAGACCCACCCAGAAGCTTTGTTTGATTGATGGAATTATTCTGCAAACAAAGAAAGAAACTCATTGAGTGGCTTAGTGCTCCCCTTGTCATGAGCATCTGATCATAAGGGCAGCTTGCTGACGAGTTAGGCATTAGAGTACACCTGTAATGAGGGTTGATCCACTCAGGTTCATGTGCCAAGTTAACACAAGACAATGTGCTGGTCCTTAGATCCACCTGTCACCCCAGAATACCATTGTACACTCTTCTTTCCTTGAGATGCTCTCCTGAATTGATATTACTTGCTGACTACTTGTCTCTAAACATTTTATAATTTGAATTTCAATAATTTCTTTGCCTTAATTATTTGTTAGAACATTTCTAAGATATCATGAGAGAGAGAAGAAGGAGAGGGCAATGAGGAAGAAATGGCGGTAATCCCATTCACTCTCCCTCCTTTAAACAGAAAAATCATTTTGAAAACAGATTAGAAGTAGGCAACTTTTCTTCATCTGTAGTTTCCAATGGCATAGAATTGATATATTTCCCTGAAGATGAAACATAAATCTACTTCAGTCACACACACACACACACACACACACACACACACACACCCCACTAACAATTCCAAAGGAAGACCACATATGGTATCTTAGCACCTGCTCTTTATCTTCCTAGAACACCCTTCTTAAAATCACTTTATTGCTTGTTCTCCTCCTCCTTCAGTTTGTTGCTAAGTCACCTTTTCATGAGTTGGTTTTTTTTGGTGTTTTTTGTGGGTTTTTTTTTGCTGATGCTACTTTTTAAAATTTGATTATCATTTCCCCAAACCTTATTTTCTTTACTTTTCTCCATAGCAGTGCCATTTAAAACACCATGTACTTACTTGCAATAATATCTGTCTCTGTCCACTTGAATATAATTTCAGAAAGGGAGGGGTTTTTGTTCATTGTGTATCTACAGTGACTAATCACATGCTATGTTAAGTACCCATAATTGCTTGTTTCATGAATACTTAATTTGATGTCCATGATGGCTTGAGAAGGAGGCAAAATAGATATTATCCTCCTCCTTACATCGGGAAAATCAAGTGACTCATGCTGAAAGATAATTATATGTTCCCAATAACTAATATTAATGTATTCAACAAATGTTTATTAAGTACTTAATATTTTAGATAGAGGAGATATTGTTGTCACTGTCTTTCTCAAATTTTTACTAAAGCAACTTTTAGTGACATTTTGAAATCAGGCAAGAATTGGGAAGGTTTAAAAAACTTAAGTATGAGAGAAAGGTCAAAAATATAAAAGCATCTTAAGAGAAAGGAAGAGGGGATTCAGCACTAGTTGTGATACAAAGGAGAGCTAAAAATCTATATAAATTGTAACACTTCTAGGTAAATACAAGTTGTGATTAATTAAATACTATCTAAAACATTTATTTATAAACACACTAGAGGCCCAATGCACGAAATTCATGCAAGGGGCTCAGCCCTCACAGCCCCAGCTGCCTCTGCCGGCCCTCACAGCCTTGGCTGGCCCTCACAGCCCCAGCTTCGTCAGGAAGGTCATCTGGAGGGTTGTCCTGAAGATCATCCTGACGGTCATTCTGCTGTTTGGTCTAATTAGCAAATTAGCTCTTTATTATATAGGATTATGTCATTTAAACCATCTTCAGAATACTATGTGAGTGTTCATTTGATTTCACTATTCATTGTTCACTTATTTACCATATGTTTATGGGACCACTGTGACCATGCTTTTCTAAATTGTGATTCTGGGAACATCTGCATTAGAATCTTCACTTCAGACTTTCTGAAACAAAACCTTTTTTTGTAATTTGCTTGATTAACAAATTTTCAAGCAATTGCTTAAAAATCCCTTAATTCTTCTGAGGATATGACACCATGAAAAGTTCATGGAGATATAAAGATGAGTAAAACATTGCATGCAATTTATTCTTTCATGCGTACACTATTTTTTCTTTTCTTAAATACAGTATGTAAATATGTGCTTAGAAGTAACAGTACAACAGTGGACTGGAATAAATTAGTGGTATGTGGGGTATGCTGGAAGAGGAACACAGAAAGGGACGAGTTCAATCTCATATACGTATGACAGAGTGGAGCGAGAAGTGTCTCACAAACAACTGGCCTTGAATTTGTCCTTTAGAGGATAAGTAGAATTTGAGAGGCAAAAATAGTTCATGGAGAAAGGGGATATGTATGGATATATGAATATAAGCTGTATATATTAACTTAAGGATGGGTATAAGTATAGGTATCTATAGGGATAACTGTAGGTATAAGTGTAGATAAGTATAATAGTAATTCAATATAAAGGCAAAAATATAAATGGTTTAGTAGAAGCACAAAGTTGGTTTAGTATGATAGTATTCATTTTGAATTACATGGATTTTGGGAAAAAAATTTCAATAATCAGTAACATTATGTGTACCTTCATGTCTGACCTTATCACATTTGTCTCAGGTTCAGGCACAGATTCTCAGAAAATGCCCATCACAAATGGCAGTGCAATAAGAGAATTCATTCTCCTGGGGCTCACAGATCGCCCCGAACTCCAGCCTCTTCTCTTTGTGCTGTTTCTGGTTGTGTACCTTGCTACTCTCTTTGGAAACCTGGGAATGATAGTGTTGATCAGACTGGATTCTCGCCTTCACACCCCTATGTACTTCTTCCTCACCAATTTAGCCTTTGTTGACTTGTGCTATACCTCCAACGCCACCCCACAGATGTTGGCTAATTTTCTTTCAGAGAAGAAGACCATCACCTTTGCTGGCTGCTTTACCCAGTGTTACATTTTCATTGCGCTCCTTCTCACAGAGCTTTACATGCTGGCAGCCATGGCCTATGACCGCTATGTGGCCATATGCAGCCCTCTGCACTATAGTGTGAAAATGTCCAGGCAGGTCTGCACCTGCTTGGCCACATTTCCTTATGTCTATGGCTTCTCAGATGGCCTGTTACAGTCCATCCTGACCTTCCGCTTGACCTTCTGTAGATCCAATGTCATCAACCACTTCTACTGTGCTGACCCACCACTCATTAAGCTTTCCTGTTCTGACACTTATATCAAAGAGCTTGCCATGCTCATATCAGCTGGCTTCAATCTCTCCAGCTCCCTCACCATCATCCTGGTGTCCTATGCCTTCATTATTGCTGCCATTCTCCGGATCAAATCAGCAGAGGGAAGGCACAAAGTATTCTCCACCTGTGGTTCTCACATCATGGCTGTTACCCTATTTTATGGGTCACTTTTTTGTATGTATGTAAGACCACCAACAGATAAGACTGTTGAGGAATCCAAAATAATAGCTGTCTTCTACACCTTTGTAAATCCAGTGCTTAATCCGTTAATCTACAGCCTGCGGAACAAAGATGTGAAGCAGGCATTGAAGAATGTCCTCAGACGAAATGTGGTCACTAGGATGGCAATGCTTCCATTTCCCAATAAACCATAACACTAAACCTTGGGCTCAAATGTCCTTGCATAGTGATGATAAGTCTGGGTATTCTCTATGGGTATGTCTCAAGGTAATCTGTAAAGCTCAGTTCTGGGCAAAAATAAGTGAGCTATACCGTTGCCCCTCAATGTGTGGTCCTTGAACCAGCAGCAACAGCATTACCTTGGAGGTTTTAGAAACGTGGCATCACATTCTGTACCTCAGATCTATGATATCCAAATCTGTGTTTCAGCCTAATCCTATGTGATTTGTAAATACATTAAATTTGAGCAGCAGTGCTCTCAGTGGAAACTTCCTCTGGGAATGACCTGCGGCACTGGTGTGCTCTTATTGTTTATGACAGTAGACAGGATAAACATGCTTTCAGCCCAGTTCCTTGAATTTACTCTGTTCTTATTGCCATCTATTTTTAAGAAATATGTCTTCCACCCCAACTTACTAAGTAAAACCATAAACGATGGGTCAGAATAATGGTTTCCTGTTTATGTGCTTGAGAAATGTTCAGTATGTGACTGGGTAGAGAGAGGACTAAAATAAGCATTCTTTCATAAACATGAGTTTGTGGATCTAGTTTGTGGCCTCTGAGCTATAGGGTTCTACTTTCTTCCTCTGAATTGCAACCCTGGATCCATAAACTCAGTTCTAGGAAAAGAATGAATTTTCTGTAGCACCTGGATTCGAAAAATTTAATACTTAACTGGAGTTATCTTTTCTTTTTTTTAAAAAAATAAATGTTTGGATTATTGATTTCAGTCTCACATTTTTTGTCATATACTAGTAAGTTTTTGTACATTTTACCTAAACACTGTTTTAGCTGAAAGCTACTATTTTTTTGTGGGGAGCCAATATAGGGTTAAACCTCGGACTGACCTGTTGGCAAAGTCACAAACAAGTCCCAGCTTAGAGGGCACAGTCCTCTTAAGCATAATTAGGCTTGACCTATGATGCTACCTAGATCTTACCTGGGAAGCTAATGGGCTGAGGGAAGTGCAGCAAGAACAAGAACAAAAACAAATGAAACTCACAAGAACAGTGTAAACAAGTGAAACTCACAAGAACAGTGTAACTTTAGTAACCACTACCTTGTTTACCTCTGACTATAAAATAAAGGCTCAGTTTGCCTCGGCATCTTTCTCTGTGGCCTCAGACAGGCACAGGAAAATCTATGGAGACTTCGCCGACTCCGTCCACATGTTTGGGAACCCCTGGACCCCCGGGGCTGGACCCCGGCATTTTTTAATAGTTTAGTTTGCTATATTTTCTTATCCTCTCGGTGACTTTTTCTTTCATCTATGGATTATTTAGCAGAGAGTGGTTAATGACCATACATTTGGGACTTTAAAAGAAATTTTATTGTTACATGTTTGTAAGTTCTCTGGTCAAAGACCTTTGTCTTATAATTTTATTCTTGAAAATTTATTGGCTAATATTTTTCCAGCTTTATTGAGATATAATTGACATATAACATTGTTTAAGGTTATAAATGTATATATTGGAAAGTGATTATTACAGTAAGGTTGGTTAAGACATCTATCATCTATAATTACATTTTTTTGTTGTAGATAATTAGATATTTGGTAAATGGGAAGAAAAGGTAGTATATCATTTCCTTTTACTCTGTTCTCATCTCTGGGCAAATGAATCACATACTGATAAAGTAATTGCTCACCAGGTTTTGAATAATATATTACTTTCCAAGTCCTGGACCTCACACCTTGAACTAACTACATTACAATTCAATTCATTATGTTATCTTGTCCAAATGATTTTACTTACTGGGTTTTGTAATTTAACCACTTTACTCTAGATATGAAAGTCTTTTTAGCAAACAGTAGTCGTTTTGTTGAAGGGACTCTATAAAACACAATTTCAACTGGGGAAACATCAAAATCGATGAATTATATCATTATTTTATGTCTTAAATTTTTACTGATTTGATTGGAATGAATGGTGATCCACAAGGCAAAAATTCTATGAGAAACTCCTAAAACAATAAGCTCAAAGCAATTACAATCTGATGCAATTCCATTGTGCATAATCCAAGACTCTAATGACTATGAGTCAACATAAATTACCATTCCCCTGGAGTTTACTCTTGCAGTAGTAACATGATAATCATTTTTTCAGGGTGTGTTGAAAAATACTTCAGGGATAAAAGTTCCAAGTTGCAAATGTATAAATCATTCCCAGCAGCTCATTCCTTGGACCATTAGTGTCTCTGAGAAAATCTTTCCTGGGTCAGGTAGGTATGAAAATTCTGACTTCCATGCTTGCATTTTCTCTTTATTTATTTAATTAAAAATTTAAGAAATTGATTTTAGAGAGAGAAAGGGAGAGAGAGAGAATGAGAAACATTAATGAGTTGCCTTCCATAAGCACTCTGATGAGGGATTGAACCCACAACCTGGGTATGTGCCCTGACCAGGAATCAAACCCACCATCTTTTGGTGCATAGGACAATGCTCCAACCAAGTGAGCCAAATAGATTAGGCCTGTACTCTCTCTTCTTGTTTCAGTTTTGATTCTTCACGAGTAGGAGTCAGGTGACAACAAAATCAGTTTTGAATGTTAGCATAATTTCTCAGTATATATTATTTAGATTGGTCACTAGACAAGATAAAATTTTATTGGAATTACGTGTTTACTGTAATCATTTTACTTTATAAATAGCATTCTCTCCATTCATTTAATAATTTTAGTGCACAACAAATAACTATATTGGAATAAGCAGTTGACAATCTAATAAATTATTTTTAGAATAATATCTATTGAAAAAACTGTTCCCCCTCCAAAAAAAAAACACAAACAAAAAAAACAAAACACCTTGACAAATAATTTTTAAGAAAGAAAAATTCAAGCATAATTATACTCATTCTAGCTAAAGTAAAACTCTCATAGAACTTTATATTATATTATTGGAGAGATAAACTTTTGGGGCAAATTTAATATTCACTAAAGATTATATGACTAGTAATGAGTTTGGGATTTGTAACTACATAAATGATGAGTCAGAATTTCCAAGAGATGGCAATTTTAGAAATTATTTAGTCAAAGTCTGGTACTGAATAAATGAGGACTCTGTAGAAAGAAAGCCACTATGTTAAGGTAAAAGGAGTGTTTTCTAATGCTCTTTTACTGTTGTATGATTGACTAGTATGAAGTCACAGCGTACAACATGATGTATAATTTGGGTTCATACATTGTATTCAGGTAATCCATCCTGCCCTTATATTTGTGAGACACTGGAATGAAAAACCAAGAGAGTGAGAAGGTGCTGGAGTTCATATGGCAGAGCGCTCTAATCTGGGAAATTATATTCACATGTTATGCATGGCTCCATCACCTATATGACTCATGTAGTTTTAATTTTCTACCTTAAAATATCATTTTTCTCAGCTATTCTTGCAAATTTAAGTCTTAATGACTTATCGTGGTAGTTTCTAGACTAAATTACTAAAACTAAACTTCAATAACTCGTTTCTATTTTCTGCGCTTCTTCCTTTGGCTTCAATAGCTAGCCCCTAGTCTCTCACTCAGTCTATCTTATGGGACTACAACAATGGTGACCTTATGTATATGAAACAGTATGTGTGACAGAGTCCAATGTGATTCTGCTATCTTAGACATTTGGATTTTAACTGGAGCCTGAAGAGAGCAAACATTTCCCCAATGAGATTTTCTTAGCCCAAAGAGAGCATTTAAGCTCCAGGCTCTTTGAACAAGTGAGTTTAGGAAAGGCAGCATACCTTGCTCCAAGATATGAATCTGTAGATTCAAGAGCATATCGGTATATAAAAGATTCTGAGACTTCCTGCAACCCTGGATCCAACTCCCTTTCCCTCTCCAAACTCAGCATTTTAAAATTTATTTTTATCATAGACCAGTTTTTGTTGCCCGATATTCATTTGTTTCGCTGAACACAGTTATGGAAATACTAATCTAAAAACTCAGGTGACAGAACTGTGCTCAGTAGATAGAGCATTGGCCTATGCACCGAAGGGTTCCGGGTTTGATTCTGGTCAAGGGTACATGCCTGGGTTGTGGGCTCAATCCCTGGTTGGGGGCATGCAGGAAGCAGCCTATCAATGATTCTCTCTCATCATTGATTTTTTTTTTATCTCTCTCTCCCTCTCCCTCTCTGAAATCAATAAAAATATATTAAAAAAAATAAAAACTCAGGTGACAGCAAGCTTAATTTTTATTTGTGCCCTATTTTCCCCATTCCTAATTGTACTTGTTCTATCAGTTGCAGGATTCTCCTAGAGGTAAAATAGATTAGAATAGCAAAATTGCTTTGTAAAACTGAAGTGCCTGTGTGCATGAGAAAAAATACTATTACCAAAATATAGCCTTTCCTTCCATAACTGTAGAATATGGTTGCTAAGCCTATTTGCAGGAAAGGGTAGAAAATAGGCAAATTAAATACCAATTTAATTTTTTTACATTTTTATTTTTTTATTTTTGTCTTTATTAGTTGTTTAATGTAATATGATGACCCACCAGGTGCTACTATTTGGGACATGGTTGTACAGATTTAAAGATTAGATGAGTATCTGCATGTCACAAAAAATAGATTTACATTACTAAGGTGAACATTTTCCAAATGAACTCATTCTTCTGGTGAGTGAGGAAAGAGCTCTTTTGCTATTGACATAAATCCTGATTGTCTAATGATTGCATTTTCCTGCTAAAGGCCAAAGTTGTATATTTAAGCCTTGCAAATTCTATGTCAAATTACCAGGGGGATGTTGGTTCTAATTTATCACAGTAACTTGGGAATAACACACACACACACACACACACACACACACACACACACTCGAAAAAACAACATCAAAGACAAATTCAAAGAGCTTTCAGGAGTGTTCACACTTCTGGGCCTGCGGTGGGCCTTTCAGTTTGTTCCCATGCTTGCCACATCTTTTTTTTTCATTATTGATTAAGGTATTACATATGTGTCCTTATCCCCCTATTCTTCCCGCACCCCTTCCCCCGTGCCCTCACCCCCCTAGTGTCTGTG